TATATATATATATATATATATATATATATATATATATATATATATATGTGTGTGTGTGTGTGAAATAAATATTGCGCAAGTTAAATTTTATTGAAAAATTAAGTTTCAAAATCCCAGCTAACAGATTCTTGCCCCTCCTGTAGAACCCTTCTGCTCCCCGCTGTGTTGATTGCTGACTGGGAGCATGCTGCCTCTGTGGGGGATTTAAATGCGTCATATGGCCTTTTAACCAATTAGAGAGCGTGCTGTCCTAAGAGCCTGCCCCCACTAATAGAAGAGCCACCTAGCCCTTCCCCTGGGTGTCACATTACAGGCCCAGCCTTTCCAGAGGAATCCTCTCACTGTTCAAGCTCTCAGCCAGTGAGCCAGCACAGAGCTGCAGCAGGAAAACACAGCCTGCAGGTGGCACCGCTCCGTGCTGCACACTTCCTCAACCTGCTCCTGGCTGCCTTGTTAAAGACTTTACACTGATTCAGATACGTTTTCAGGTAACTAAAACAATCCAGGTTCCATGCAAATTCTTTTTAATATGGACTGTACAATGAGTAAGATGGAAATGATGTGTAGGTGCCGGAGTAACTCACGCTGCTGATTCCTTTTGTCACTTGCATTCTTCAAAGGCAAGCAGACAGGACAGTCGTGCCGCGTACAGTTCTTCCAGTGTGAGATGATCTGTCTGGATGATGCACAGTGAGCCACTGGAGAAATATAAAAGGCAAACAATGCACAGAATGAGGTTAGGTGACAAGTAATGCAACATACTGAACTCATGCAACACAATGTTGGCATGTGAAAGGATAATGAATCGGGGAGGAAAAACATGGGCTATAAAACACACTGTAAAAACAACTATGTAAAAGCAATTAGTGAGCGCATTGTAAAACCATAAATGAGCCCTTTCATTTTTTTGTGACGATACAGTTTACATATCAAAGTTCAAAGTTCACAAACCATGGGTGACTTTTTTTTTAAACTGCAAATAGCTGTGCCAGGGGAAGCTGGGAAGGCTACCAGTGTACTGAAGACATGTAACGTCAATTGGGCCTAAAACGGTGGCTGATCATGCACTAAAATCATCCCAGTTAAATTAGCGATCTAAGAGCGTACAGGAACATGCCGTAGCTTTTCACTCACCCTGGCAGGACTTGCCGGCCTGGCAGTGGGTCATGTGGTTGAGTACGTTCTTCATGGTGCGGCAGTGGGGCAGAGTACAGGCCCTCACCTCACCATTGGCCTGCTCCCGCCGCTGGCACTTATGAGCGTGTAGCAGCAGGACCAGCTGCTGCTGAATGAGCTTTCGCTTCTCAGGGTCAGCCGTCGGGCCTCCGGACACGCCAGCAGCCCCAGGGACCAAACCCATGGACGCTACCTGTTGCTGCATCTGAGACTGCAGTGAGGAGACCACACACAAGTCTTGGGTATACAGTCGAGTGCAAGATGCTTAACATTAATATTAGACTAATGGCACTAAAAACTCCCAATATTTTCCAAAACTAAATGGCCTCAGTAGCTTCTGGATGTATGCATTTATACCGTATATCGTAATTTTATGGTTAGCTGTCATAGATCTCAGTTCCACACAGTAAGAATAAGGACAGGTGAGACAGGGCAAGTTTCAATACACATATATCCATGTGTAAAAAAAAGTGAGCACCACAGCTCATGAAAACACTAAAAGGTGGTATCTTTGCATCTTAAAGGAGACTTATGTCCATTTTCCCACAAGCTTATATAATTTATGGAGGTGTTCAATTGTCTGACATGCTTTGGTCAAAATGACATATATTCAGGGGAATGGATGTTATAGGGTTCCCCTTTTTTTCTTGTTTAATATTTCATATCCACACTCATTTTTGGGAACACCGCCAAATGAAAATACAGCTGCATTCACATCTGCTGTCTCCACCTGGATTGTAAACTGGACTATTGGAGCCACTTTTACTGACATTATCTGGTGTGAGGCGGGATGTTTTTTTCTTTTTTGTACATATGTGAAGATGAACTTTCTTCCTGCACTGAGATCATCTACCAAGCAGTTGAGGGGTCATAGGAAGAAAACCAAATAATGCAGCTGGCTGTGGAAGAGCAAACCATGAACGAACTTAGACCTGCTCATAGCAACAAATCAGCAGCCACAATACTTTTGACAAAAGGGGAGCATATAAGGATGGCGACTGAATACCCATTTAGTGATTTGTGTTTCCCCTCAAATCTGAAGGACCTGATAAATGGAACCGTTTCAGATATATGGGGCCAAAATAAAATGTCAAAAGCATGATGAGATTTTCTGTCAGGTATATATACTTCTTTTAACAAAACACAAGAAGCCATAATCCTGATATTTCACACTCTTACTTGCCTGTAGCTTTACTGACACCAACAGAAGCTTTTTTTTTTTTTTAACAAAGGACATCTCGAGACTCTCTAAGATGCAAATAAACCAAGTAAAAATCAAGACGTTTCAGGAGTTTGGGAGGCTAATCTTTGCCCCAGGTATTTTATCACCCCAATGACACTCGATACAAAAGTTGGTAGACTTTACATCGGACTGTCACTCACCATATTTGGCACACTCCCAGCTCCTTTTAATTCAGGAGGAAACTGGGGCATGTTGTTGGAAAGGGCAGTCTTGTTCTGGAGTTGTTGGGCATTGACCCCTGCTGTCCCCATCTGCTGCACCGCACCTTGGCCATACTGCTGGCTAAAGGGAGCTCCTGACATTGCCATCTACAGTAAGAAAATACAACAGAGGGAGGTCAGATGATAAACGGCGGCGTTTAGACTGGGGATTTTGTCTTACTAAAATACAGCTTTAATTCCATAATTGAATCAATCATTATGAAACCCACATAGGTAAGCTTTAACCAACATCCTGACACCAGGTCAGCGGATGAACGGCCAGAATTTTATGGTTTGGCCAAGAGTCTTCCTTTGTATCAACGTGGTAATCTTACTATCTATTATCCAAACAGTCTGAGGAGGATCCACAGGGAGACATAAAAAGTTTGTGCAATATAAAAATATTCCATTTTAGCTTTTAAGTCAAGACAAAAACTGTTTTTCATGAGGAGTTGTAGATTTGTTAAGTGTTAACTTTTATTTCTAATTTTGCAAGAATACAAATTCCCTTGTGGAGGAATGGTTCACCACTCTACATGTGTGTGTAATTCTCACTCAAAATGGGAAGGAAGCATGTTCGTGATCACACAGGTGTTCTTTCAGCTGGGATGGAGAGCTGCAGTTCAGACAAGACCGGCACCGTTTTGAACAGTTTCCTCCTTTAAATCCATCAGCCCTATGGCAAACTTTCTCCTACTTTACTTATTTTGCAACTCCTCATCCAGTATCCATTTCCTTTGTCTTGTTTTGAGCTCCAGAATTTCACCATTATTTGATACCATTGAAACTGAAAGCTACCTGGTACCTTTTGATTGTGATCACAAAACATGTGAAATGCTGATAGCCAGCAAAGACATATGCATGGCAGGAGCAAATCAGTATGTACAAGTGACAGAAAAGTGCTTACGGTCAGCTTCCCGCGCAAATCATCAAATAGAAAGAAAGAAAAAGGAGGGCTCAGACTTCACCCTACTGTCAGTAAAATCAAATGATGTTATGGTAAGAATGGGACCAGGAATGAACAGCTGACCTTGTGATAAAAAGGGAACAGACCTTCTACTTCTAAAAAGAACTGGCTCATGCAGTTTCTGTGGCCGACACGTCCAAAGGAAAGGAACGCTGTGTATCGCTCTGTGTGGTCCAGCATTTGGAAAGGACCTAATTTGTCGATTTCACCACAAGCTTTAAACATAAGACAAAGTACAGTGGCAGGACTTGTTGACTATGCGGCCACAACTGGCTGATGAGTCCGTAGCAGATCTCCAAACAAAATTTCACTGACAGATCTTGACGACTAGTTCTCATCAGAACTACTAAATCTATGTAAAAACAGCGAGAGAGGCTTCCACAAACGCAGCAGTGCGAGGCCATTTAACTGGTTGTGACATCAGTGCATCAACTACAAACTTAGATTAAATGCAACACAGACAATATTCTCTTCGTATGACTTTGTAGATGTAGTATTAAGCTCTGAAATTATCCCGGTTTGCTCAAACAAATACCAAAACTGAACTGATATCATAAAGGAAAGACCTACAGAGTAGTTGCAAACATTTAAGAACAAGTCAATATCATTTTGAACGATCCTTATTCTCTTATCCCTGGGACGGGTGGCCTGCTGCCTCTGCCTGCGGTGGCTAAAGCGGCAGCAGCCTGCTTTGCTTCACATACAGATCAAGCCCTGCCCAGCAGAGAGAAAAAAAAAAAAAAAAGGGAAAAAAAAACCCTACGTGAGACACGCAGAGAAAGACCAGCTTGCACAACAAATGAGTATGGCCGTGCTGCCTGCCCCTCCCCCCCTCCTCTACACGGAAACCCACAGATGCTTGCCTGCCGCCTGCCTTTCATTCACACATTCAACCCTATTACACATGGGTTCATCCACTTGATGATCGGCACTTATCACAAAGGAGCGGTGGCGTGTAAAATAACTGCTAAAATCCTCCAGTTTTTCAGCACTTCTTCGCACCTCTGGATTTTTTCTCCCCATTTGTTTTATGGACGTCAGAAATTTTTCGGAACTGCCCAAAACAAAGAATACTTTAACGGGACCAAAGGAAACACAATCAAAGAAATCCTAACATTTCGCAATCGCAAATGTCCCTAAAAGCTTTAATATCAATCAGAATGTCCTGCAGATATTTCCATGCTTCTGGCTGCATTTAAAGTGAACATGGAATAATGTTCCCACTCAATCTTTAGCCTTTGGTGCTTTGATTAACTTTTCATCTATTGTGATGTGAAAGTGTGAAAAATGGAAAACTTTAAAATTGAACCCTTTGACTTAGAAGTAGAGGATTTCGGGGGTAAATCCTCTGATTTGTTGAATTCTTGTAGGCTTGAAACAGGGTTGGGGAGAAGATGCTGATCATGCACTCCGCATGGTTACATCATTGACGCTTCAACATGCACTTTTGGGAAAAAAGGCAAATTTTTTAGCTCAACGGCAGCTGTTCAAGCTCACTCGAATCGGATCCAGAAATCTGCCTCAACAAAGGTTGCGATTAATTTTATGGCCATGTTGCGACATTCTATTCGATCTATCAAAAGAGCCAGCTGTATGAACACTCCAGTCCAAGAAAAGACAGAAAACACAAAGATCTGCCAGCAAAATGAGGAAGGAAACTTAGCAGAAATCTAAGAGAGAACCAGTGTAGCCAAAGAGAGCCATTAAAGCATAACTATTGGCACACTTTTTAAATGGACAGCATAATCTAACTATTCAACAAGGTGGTAAACTAGGAGTAATTCAGTGTTTTTGAATTATTATAAATGCAATAAATGGATGCTTTCCATTAATAAATGAGTAATTACACATTAACACAAAGTCACCTTTTTGTACTAAAATGCCTTTGTAGACCAAAGCAACACAGACATCTGAAGTCTCTCCAACAATCTGAGGTTAAATCTAGTGCTTTACAAGTGTTGGAACAGTTTCTACTCTGTGTCACAAAAGAAAACACACTTTTTTCGTTCTGAGATAATGACCCACAAAACTAATGATATATTGCTTATTGGATTTAGTGGATAAGACAAAAAAGAAGCTCTGAAAACTAGCTGGACCTTTTGCTATTGCACATGCAGAACTTAAAGATCATCTTTGAAAACAAAAGAGTTCAACTTTGGTTAAATCAACAATTTACCAGCTAGTTTTCTGTCTCAGTGTGGGCATCTTCTATTTTTATTGATCACACTGATCCATCTAATTGTTTGCCATAACAAATGCATCGCATAAGCAGCCTCACATGAAGTAGTTGGGCTTTAATCAAAACAAAGCCAGACGTTAAGGTGTACATTTGTGTGGGAAAGGAGGAGCTTGTTTTATGTGGTGATGCCTGCTGCAACAGTATTGGTGTAAACCTGTCCACTGGTTTAATCTTGGCTTCCTGTCAAACCACAAAGCCCTACAACTCTCGGAAAAGAAGAGAGAAGTTTTCTCACATTAAACACTTCAAAGTCTATGAAAGTCTAGAACAGACAATCAAAGAGAAAAACAACTGCCAGCACAGGAGTCCAAGTAAATGTCATTCTCAAACACTGATATCTCTATATAGAGATGCCATGAAGACACGTGCAGTTCAAGTAGTCATTGCATCACAATATTTCAGACTGGGGAGGTGAGAGAATTTCATAAAATGCACAGCTTGGTTAGATGGCAGCGTTAAATGAAATGTTAGCTTAACCATTTGAACCAGTTACATTTAGCGCCCGTACAAGGGAATCTATTTTGTTTAACAGGTCATAAATTCATTGCATGCACACAAACTGAAGCCAGCCACAAGCTTGCATGCAAGCACCTTTTTGGCATGGAGGAACACTTCTCCTTTTCTTTTAAACCCACATATAACTGGCAATGGAAAAGGATTTAATCATCTTTTTTTAGCAAATATACTCCTTAGCCAAACACAGACAGTCATTTAGATTTAATGGTATTTTCATGCTCATTATAGGCCATTACAAGAAAATTCTTGGTATTAATGACATAAGTACTTTGCTAGATTTTTAAATCCTTACACAAACTTTTCCTGAAGAGCATGCCGAGCAACAAGATAAAAAAATGCAAGCGAGCGAGTGCTCATTCCTGCTGAAGAGAAGGAACTCGCACTATTGCAGGAGCGCCTAAACAAGCGGTTGCATACTGTAAAGTAAGTGGCACTCAAACTACCGACAAGTGAGATATGCAGGTATTATTTAGTTTAGATAATAAAGTGAGATGCAAACCCAACTGTGAAGAACTGCAAAACATCCCATTTGAACCTTTGAGACATCTTCAGTTGTGAGAGTGTTGCTGATCCCATTCTTATATGAACAAACTGTTGATTGTCTGCTAATCAAGCATCAGTTTGGACCTCACCTTGTTCATGTTTCCCGCTTGCTGAAGACTCAGTGTGTTGTGGGCCATCTGTGGTCCTCCTTGGGTTAGAGTCTCTGCCAGCACACTGTTCCCCACACCGGGTCCAGCACCTACTTGGGTCCCCTGCATGCCTTGGCCTTGGTACTGCATGCCGGGCCTCCCCCGGCCCGCTGGTCCCATAGCTCCATTCATGACCTGTCCGGTCTGGCCCATGACGCCATGACCCTGCCCACTGTTCAACATGGCCTGGTTAAAGCCCATGCCTGCGTTTCCGTTGCCTTGCCCAGCTGAAGCGCCCCCTTTCTGGGCCTGCGTGGACTGGTGATTGGGGGAGCCTTGCCCTAATGGCCCTTTGCCCAGTACAGCACCAAGCTGGCTTCCCACCATGCCTCCCTGTTGGGGGCTGGCAGAATTCAGGCCCCCTCCCAAGATGGAGGAGCTTCCTGGTCGCAGGAGTTCAGACAGCTGCTTGTGTTTGGCAGCAGCATCTGGAACGACTGAATTTAGACCAGAGCCACCTCCACCTGGACCACCGCTGGAAGGCATTCCCAATCCCAAGTCTCCATTGGGAATGAGCTCATCTGGAAGGTCATTTTCCAAGTCAAAAAGAGACCTGAAATCTGTAAATAAAGAGAACAGGAGAGGAAAATAAGAATTAATAGCATGTCATGCCTGCTTTACAAGCAGTACAATATGAGATCCACAAAGCTGCCGGGCATGTGCAGACAGACTGGACAATGATATCGGGTAAATATCAGAACTCCAAATGTCAGTGGTAAAGCTCTTTCAAATCTGTCCCCAAAGCAAATCTTTCCACTCTTTAGTAGAGACCTGGGTGACACAAGAGCCGTAGAAACAATGTGTATTCAGCGACTGTTGTACTGATGTTGAGTGACTTGAATTCAGAACTGAACAGTCAACTTTTCACAGCATACTTGCAAGTTTGACTGTGGCCAAACTCCAAACCTGGGACGATCTACCTAAAGTAGAGATTCTAGTTCATGTATAAAAAGTCAATTTATGCCCATGTATAATAAAGACTGGAAAATCAACTGGCCTTGGTTGGACGTTTAATATAACTGTACAAACACAGAGTCACATATCAGTTTGTGATCTCCTTTTAAATTGTGACATTGATTTGTTATTCTATCCCAAGAATAACACAGACAGACAAAGATATTGTTAAGGGTGTAGTTAGAGATGCACATAGCACAGAAAAAACTAAAACAAATACACATACTCAACACGCAAAATCATTAAAGACGACAATAATGGACGCTACAGTCCAAAACACACATCTCTGCCAAGATCTTTCACGTGAGTGTGTAAGTGTGCTCGTGTGTGAGGCAAGCAGCCCCACCCCGTACACACCTAGCTCACTGCACACCGATTTATTAAGACCGAGAAATCCAACCTGCTCCTGGATGATATGAGGTAAAAGGAGCGTTAACATTCCAATCTCGGCCTTAAGCCAGAGACAAGAATGTAACGGGATGAGAAAAACATGTCTTAAGTATGACGACTTCTCTAAAGGGTGAATGTAAGTTCTGTTTTTCCAAACAACATACATGATGAGCACACCCAGTATCAGGAAACCGTCATGTGGAAGTGGCTACAAAAGCAAACAGAAAAAAAATTCCCATTTCTAGTAAAACCATTTTTCGTTGACAAGACATTTTATGTATCCAGTAGCATCCTTTCAGAACAGCTGTTCAGATGACTCCACGTGGCTGTGCATGTTGCATATACCAAAGTTGCCTCATTCATCCACAAAACAATTGTAATAACACACAGAGATGTAGCACAGATTACACAATGAGAGCACACCCGCTTAGGTTCAGTGTACAAAACGATCCACACCCACTGTCAAGTAGTCCCACAGGTGAACCATGTCAATCTGGGAGAAATGAGGGGTGAATAATGAACCCCATTGGCAGAAATGGAGTCGCACCCGGACTGTCCTCACACCCCCTGTACCTGGTAGCCTGATGCCTTTAAGGGCATCTCAGGCCTACGCTACGACAGTCAAAATGGATGAAACTCTTTGGTGAACGTATTGCTCCAAGGCGGATCGGCAGCAAATTTGTAAAACTTTTCATTTGGTGTTTTATAAGAAGAACTGTGATGACTTCAAGATGTACAAGATTAGTGGCGCATGCAGGCCTGGTCTGAAGTCATTAGCTGCAGTGTCAATGAAAACCACAACCGCGCAGAAAAAAGGTTACCGAATACTACGGCAAACACCTCCAACCCCACGTCAAGTGAGACACTTATTACTCACCCCCTCACCCCTTCTGACGAAGGTTTAAAACCATCGATAGCTCAGGGCCAGCGCGCTAATGTAAGCTCCTTCTTGGAGCCGGTTTGGTTGACCATGGCTAAAGACCACCAGCAATGACTAAGTGATGCTTACCATAAAATAAATAAATCACATGCAGAGCAACACATCTAACTTACAGATATTTCCACCTGTACCTACTACCTACCCGTCTTGACTTGGTTTTCAGCTTCTCTTCAGCCGGGGTTAAAAGCGAGCTGAAAATCTAACATCTGTAGACTGCAAGTCCCGGAGCGACATTACTGGACGAGTCGTGGGAGTGGCTACCCCACAGGAGCCCCTCCATTTTTAACACCCAGCATTGACCACTGTGTGATTTTATTCTTTGTGTGTATGTCAGCAGAGGAAATGGCTGGACGCAAACCAACAGCGTGGTCCGACGAATTTGTATGATATGAGAGTGTTGGCTGGTGTCTACTCCCAAAACCTTTCTTGAAATTAGACGATCTGGGGTTTTCTTAAAGATTTTTACGGAGACAGCACTGAAATGTTTCAAACTTTTTGTCAGCTAAAGGCAATTCACTCACAAATTCATCTCTGATTCCCAGTGGTTTTATCTCTTGCAAATGTCTGTCTCTGCTCAGATATGGTCAGCCGTCGTACATAATGAATAAAAGGTTTTTACATCCCTATATTGGGTAAAAAACAACTACAATAAAACAAAGGTTATTGGCTTGTTATTGACAAAATCATCACCAAGACCGTAACCAACATTTTAAGTATCATCAAAGCTCACAATTTACAGCTAAAAGGACAGATATTTTATTGGTGTTCATAAATTGCATATGGTGCATGACTCATAAATACTAATAAACACATATGCGGGTGTATTTTGTGAAAATGTGGCTTGACAAGTGGATCTGTTTTTAAGCCCTGCAGTCTACGCTGGACCGAGGTCCTGTTCAAATACTTCTGTTCAAAAAGCCTGTTGCAAACTCATTCAGAGCCATAACTACTCTGTACTCTGACTCATTTTGGAAAGTGTAAATCAATGTAATTCAATAAACAGAAGAGGGGGAGTTGCATGTCATTTCTCAGTGTTGCCACAACCTCACACCTACTGACACAGCGGAGCCTAACCACATCAAGTCAAGCCATGCCGCGTGACAGGACAGGGCTACTACTCGGTACCGGTTGTCATTCCACTTTGCACAAAAAGTGCTGCCTTGGAACACAAACTGTTGGCTCCAGAACCAACATGTTTGCTCATAATGTGCGACTTTGTGTTCGTTTTATTGATCGAGCTACTCGTTTCCATCTCAAGATCTGGCAACAGTGGCTCTGGTAGAACTTAGCGCAAAAGGAGGCAGCTGCATTAAAAAGATACTTTTTAGAAAAAGAATTACATTTGTGGCCAAGGGAGGAACCTCTGTAAGCTGTGCTCAGCGCGGTGAGGAATACCGACTTTATCGAGACTTTCAACGACAGGAGACTGGACAAAATGAGGCTAAGTGGTTAATGGATGGGACGTCCTATACACAATTCGTATAAAGACCTTAATCTTAATATCATCATTTAAAATGTTTTATTTATGTGTTAGAATGTGTCTGTACTCATTACAAACGAAAGATTATTCCAAAAATGACAACCAACGCTGGGAGTCGAAGTCTTTACATTGGTAACCGTGGATTCCAGCATTCAGATCATTTTTATGCCGCACTGATGAGATATGCGGGATATATCCTCCATTAACGTGCATCAAACATCCTCAAAAACAAAATAATGGATTTAACAAACCATCAGTGAGGTACTTTAATTTTCGGACGCACTGCTTATTCACAGATGATCAAAACGCCAATGTTGACAACAATATTTCCAGGCTTTCCATAAAGGAATGTTTCTGTTGAGACATTTGCCAAACATGTCTATCACATGCACACATCCCTCCTATACACATACAGGATTTTCAAATCACCATTACTCCATTTTAAAGCGATCACACCACAGAAATTAATTTCACAATTCAAGAGGATGGCCAACGTTGGAGAACCGAGGAGAAAAAGTTTGATGAAGGGGGACAAAAACTTCTACTAAATCTTCTCCCCTAGTTTTGAATTCTGACCATCATTTAGGTAGATGCACTACGAATAACCTGTAGTCCAGATGTCTATGAAAACACAACCGATGAGGCGTTTTCACCTGTTTATGGGAGCAATGGATGGACAAATGTCAAGAGGCTGGTAAAGAGAAACAACTATTCTACCTTAAAACCGGCACTCCAAGACTCCAGAGATGTTCTTTCAATATTTTTACTCACCTGTACATCGGACACAGCAGGATTTCTGACTTCTCACTTTTACTTTGTCATTCCCACAACACTGTCAAGTTTAGACATTCTGCCAGCTGGGAAGTTGCCATCATGGTGGGATAGATGTCCTGTTTTACATAAGAGCTCTCTGATGCCTGCACTCATTCAGGGATCTTTTTTTTTTATATATATATACATGTACACAAAAGTACTCACATCCAGGATAAACGAGCCTCTAGTTTCCCGGTGGTACCTCTGCATCCCGCTGATGGGGGGTTACGGGTTTATTTCAGCTCGGCGTTCGTGTTATCAAGGCTCTTACGTGTGTTGTAAATCATGTTCTTTTAATCAATAAACCACTCTGCATATAATTCCTTAGCCTGTCTTACCTGGTCCGTCTGATCCTGAGAGAGGTGAATTAAGCTTGGGTCGCTTTGCAGTGGGGGGTCCCGCATCCAGCAGATTGTCAGCCATCCTGGTCGTGAAAAATATGAATGGACTGTAATAAAGAGGGGTGGAGGGTAAAATCGCAGGATCAGTCCAAGTCTTCGGCCTTTAGCCCTTAGTGAGAGGTAACGCTCCCCGACGTGACACGTTAAGAAGTAATTTTCTTTCTTTTCTTGATTGGCAGACTGGCGAAATGCTGCCTGGAGAAAAGGATTTTCAAACGAAAGGCAACAGCGCCACGCTTCGCCACCGAAGATCACCCCATGATAATCCAACACCCAACACCCTCATAATTATCCTCAATAATTACGTCCAAAGATTATTTCGGTTTGAGAAAAATAAATAAAAAACATTCATAAAATATTAGACCGAGCGTAAGCAGATCCTTTTTCCTGTAGATCGCCGGTTTCACGTATGTACAGAATCATTTTTTTCGTAGTCGAAACAAGCAGCCATAAAATGAGCTTTTGGCTTAAATAAAAAGAAGAAAATTCCAAAAATATTTTCTATGAGTTGGAATATTTTTCTCGTCGCTGTCTCCCGGTAAATAAAGCGTCTCTGGACGGAGATACGGCGAGAAGCGGCGCTCTCTAAAAGGGAAATCAAATATACAGTGGGCTTTCGAGACGATAAAAACACACGTAACCTCACATGTTTGGATTATTTCTCAGCGTAAGGACAAACCCTTCGATTTTCTGCAGGAAAAAAGCCGTTTGAGCCGGGTCCGAGAGGCTCCGGTCGGTTTTTAAAATTAATGCTCCCCCCAAAATCCCGATTCTGAGCCGCGTCAAGATGGCGGCTGTTGATTCCTCCGATACAAAAAAAAAAAAAGTTTTTTTTCTTCCCAGATAGACGGTGGGGGGAGGAGGGGGGAGGGTGCCGTGCTCTGACGCCCTGACGTAAGGCAGTGTCCCACCGTGCGTCATGTGGACGTATATGAAGTTGCGTTTTCAGGTGGAATAACGCTAAAAAGATTGTTTGTATTCCTTTATTTTCTTTTTTCCCAAACACATTAAGTCACTAAAATAAGTTAAACCGTGCATTTTTATCGATTGGAGAAAACCTTTTAATGTTGACAACCAAATATTTTACCGAAGATGCTTTACAACCAGTTTATTCCAAACCTTAGCGTAAGAAAAATAGAAATACGTTAAATTAAATTACCTTAAGATACAGTCACCATAATCATCATTATATCTACAAACGTAAAGAAATATATTTCATCTTCACTGTGACCAACAGCTTTTAATTATTTTCATTACAAAAAGTATTTTTCAAAAAACGGGATTGCTTGTAATGTATATCAATTTGCATTGTGTAACATCGTTTCAGTTATGTCTGAATAATCAGATACACAATGTAAAAATTAAAAACAATTCAAATTAAAAGTTACAAATGAAGAAAGAAAAAATATGCTGGGCTTTGGGTTAAGAAAATACTTTTAAAATAATTTGTAACAAGTCACCTAACATTCAAATATACGATAATCATATAAATATGTTTTATAGTTCAATTATGTTTTCAATGATCAAAATAATAACACCACGTTCTCTACCAGCTACCTAAAACGTGGAACAATTGTTAAAATGCGGGCAAAGTCTTTTCAAATTTCAAACAAATTCATAACTTTTTCACCCATCCCTTTATGACACAACATACATGAAGAATGTAATCACTTTTAAACCTTCTAAATAAGTATGTTTTCTGTTTGGAAAAGTACATTTTCATCGTAAGCACTATGGCAGCAAAGCAAAGTGGAACTTCTCACCACTAATCATTTAGCACCAGGTAATAACATAACATGAGTTCAAAAATAAATTACGAAAGAGTATTCCAGGGTGTGAAAGTAAAGGCAGGAAGGAGTTCACAAGTTGGTGAAACAAGTGTGAACCCTCATGATTGTGCCCAACTGCCACATTGTTTTTATTGTATTTGAAAATCATGGAAATTGCTCTCCAGAACAAAGATCAAATCCAGCATTAGGATGGAAAAATTAACTTTATAACTGAGAGTCTGGGCAAAGGTGAGTGCAGACCAGCTTAACACCTCAAACAGTTCTCCACAGCTCTTAAATATTTATGGTCTTCTAAAAAAAAAATTTTTTTTTAACTTGTTGCCTTTGTATATTTTGAAATGTGTAATTGACTAAAATCCTTTTTGAATGATGGAAGCTTTCTGCATGACAAAACCTGTTAAAAGTGGTCATTTTGTGAAAGAATGCTCTTTATAGTATTCTGAATTACAGTAATATATATGCTTTTCTATGAGCAGAAATAAACAAACATGACATGGTGAATTTTCATAAACCAACAAATGTTGTGTTAATGTCGTGTAGAGGAAGTACAAAAAAGCATAAAGGAATGCTGTTCTTACTTATGCTCAATACTTCAGTTTTTGACTAAATGTACTCAGTAAAACCCCATCGCCAGAAGAAACACAACTCTTCAATTAACTTTTTATTCAATGTTAACTTTCACTTCATCTGTTAGCGTGCTATATACAAAAATACCACCCGTCCCGACCCATAAAGACACCAATAATTCATCGACATCAAGACTTAGAGTGACAGCCAGCTACTCCAGTACTACCTACCAGCAGACTGTAGCATATCTCCATTTGAACTTATTTGGTTAGAAAAAAAAGAAAGAGAAATATCTATTGACTAAAGCTTTAGCATCTCTAAGTTTTCATATCATAAAAGTTGGGAAAATGTACAAATCACATTCCAGCTAATTTAAGATCATCATTTGCAAGTCACACTTTTACAAACACTCACACACTTTTTCACACATTAATGGCAAAATAAGAGAACACAATTATCATTTCAAGAGTTTTTCAAAATGATCCAGTTTTTATAGACTATCCAATACTCTAGTACATGCGCTCGTATAAATAATAGAAAATGCTCAGATATGGTACAATAGAAACACTTAACGTCCAAAATAAAAGCAATCGCATTTAACATTTAAAGTGTAAATGTTTTTCAATTGTGGAAAGTACAACCTGTAAATCAAGAACGATGACAACATTCAAGGAAAATGCAAGAGATGACAATGACACTCTTTGGCATCGACATTTTCCACACCCGCTATTCTGCTGGTTCAGAATGTCACTAAGATCTCAAAAAATCTGAATGAATAAAAACATGAATTAAGCTGAAAATAGCAAGAATCCAATTTGTGGCTACAAATAACTATCTTGTTGTTGCTTTCTGAAAGAATATTTTTCTAGAGTCCACAAAAAACACATCAGTAAAAGGAGCTTATCAAAATTACTTGGGAGCATAAAAAGCCATATAGACTATATGCTCTACCTGACACTCAGGCATCTTCACTTTTACAAGCACTTAACCTTAATTACAGCATTGATTATTATACATTTATTGGCATGTAACAAACAACATTTGGGCTACAAGGGCTGTGTGCTCATCTGCAAGATAGGTTGTTTCTTTTCCCTTTTAGCCTATTATTAACACATCATTTTTTATATTCAGACAACAGACAGAACATAATGATAGTAAAAGGATGTTGAGGTGAAAGAAAAATGAATTCAAAACTGAATCCCAAAAAATAAAAACAAAATATGTTGTATAATTGTACATTTAATTGTATTACTTAAGAAAAGGCACTCCTCAAGTCTAAGAAAAAAAAGAAAAAAGGAATCCAAGCCAAAACATTCTTTTGGCCTTTTTCCCCCTTAGATAGGATGTTACTTTAAGAAAGGGAAAAACACTAAAAACATTTCAAAAGGCACAAGCAATCCTTTCTATTGTATACAAAACAAGAAAAAGAGGTGAGAAAGAGGTGAAAAGCTAAATCCAACAGGCACCAGCTGTAGCTTGATGACAAGAAAGGGCAAATTTGGATTTTGTCTTTATTCTAACAAAAATGATGAAATGACAGTCTTGTTGTTTAAGTTAACAGATTACCATAAATAATAATACAAGAATGAATATTTGCTTCTTTGCTTCTGAGCACACAATCCTTCATAAAAGAGTGGCATACTGAAAAAACAAGAAAAACAATACATATAAATAATATGTCTAACACGTGTTATTTCTAACACGAAAAAAAAACTTAACTTGGGATGGGACATACATTTGGTACACTGCCTATGCATTTACAGTGCAATCATCTAAAATTTCATGCCATTAAAAAAATTGAAGTAGCAAAAGCCTCCAGGCATGTCTGTTAATTCCTATACAGGATGCAGGGTGCTAAACGGCCCAAGCTTTATTTAACAAACACATTTGTGACATTCCCGTTTTATTTTCCGTACATCTTCAAAGCACGACCGCTTAACGCACAGTGTAATCCATGGCAATACATAGGCAGTTGTTTTCTGTAGTCCATCTGGAGTCATGGCTTTAAAAACTCTGCAGGTACTACGGTGCCTTGGAGGACTCATTCATATAATTATCTACACTCAACACAGCTTGATCTTCCACCAAGAGTCTGGATCACTGGCTAAGGGCACAAACAATTGAAACCAATGAAACCGCGGACGTGTTGATGATGTTGAGGCAATAGACAGGTCATAACTATGGTTAAAGGAAAAAGCTGCCACATGTTTTCCTCCCTAAAGTGTTTGGCATCCTGCAGTCTGACAGAGTAGTTCATGGGCACCCCGCTTCATTAAATTCTGAGTGACCTTACAGTACACACACACAGATGCACCACAATACATGCATGCAAATACACTCAACACAAAGCTCAGCCTCGTCTCCCTGTAGGCCGCATTGATTAGTCTCAGCTGTCGCTGTGGTGAGGGGTTTTCTGCTTTTAACATGTACCCAGCCTCTTTAGCAGAGTAGCACATTTTTCGGTTTCCCTTCACTTGAGAGATGTTGAGGTGCTTCCCACATTGCTCCTTTCCTCTTGAATCAAAAGGCAAACATACTAAGCAAAACATGGTTAGAAAAGTAAACCTGTAACAAAAGCAAAAGCTTTTTATTTTCAAAAGTTTCACATTTATAGATTTCCCTTTATGCTGTTATTGTCTCACAAAAAAGGCTTAGTTTACATCTTATCCTATTCTAAAGGCACTTAAACGACATGAAAGACATAATCAAGACTGATTAAAGGTGCAAAGATAATCAAGTAAGTTAACGGCAGACAATGAGAGTTGTAGCAGACAAGAGGGGTATCAGCACACCCTGTGTGTTCCTGCCCAACACCCTCTCTGTGGTCCACCAAGCACCCTTGATAATATCAGCTAATCATATTTACACTACAAACAACATGCTTCCTGGTTTGTGTCTTTCCACATGTTGTCTCTGCCTGATGTCGGACCAAATATACAGCGCTTCTAAACATCAACTAGAGGGAAATATAGCTTCAAGGGTAAAGGGCTTATTATAAAAATGCCACTGTTTGAAATCTTTATAGCCTTGTTAACTCTCCAGCATCTTTATCATGACCATGCTCACACGTGTCCATCTTTGTGACTTTCAGGGACCTTGCTGAGTTTTTTGGAGTATCTTGCTTGATCAAGGAGGACACCGGGATCTCTTTGTTTTTGGAAGAGGGTCCTTCCGGACTGCTTATGGGTGCCGATGCCAGGCCACTGTGAGACAAAGACCGCCTGGCACAGGAGGTCTCAGCGGAAGGACGTCTTTGATGGACTTCAGCCTCTCTCGTTTGGCCAAGCCCTTTTGTGTTTGAGGAGCCAGTGCTGGCACTTGGTACCATAGCATTGGTACTTTTTGCCGTCATGCTGGTTGTGGGCACCATACTGGCTATTTCATCAGTAGGCGAGCGCCCTATGCTGCCATCCACCTGGGCTCTGATTTCTGGAGAGACTGAGAGCTGGTACTGAGGCACAGGACCACTGTCACTGCTTTTAGGGTAAAGAAACGTCTTCATTTGACCTTTGCCTTTGACATTGACTGTACCGCGATAATCAAATTCATAATCCATGCCACTGAGCACACAATAGCTCTCCTCACTAACCTGGACACGACATTCCACGCCCGTTGTATCCATACGACTGGCAATGTTGACAGTGTCACCCCAGATATCGTAGAGAAGCTTAGTGGTACCGATTACCCCTGCCGTTAGAGGTCCATGATTAAATCCAATGCGAAGCTTGAAGCCAAAGCCCAGCATGTTCTTATTGAAGTCATCCACCACTCGCATCATCTCCAGAGCAAATTCAAAAAGAGCTCGGAGATGAGCGTGAGGATGGGCGGCATCCGCACACTGCTGGGAATTAAGTCCAGCTGCAGCCATATAGGTGGCACCAATCGTCTTGATCTTTTCAATATTTGCAAAGGCTGGCTTCCGTAGGAGCTCATCAAAGTCCCCGATCAGCTCATTGAGAACACGATAACACTCTTTACCGCCCTCATAACTTTCTTCATAAAACTCACTGAAGTTCACAATACTGGCAAATATCACGCCCACATTGTCGTGGTTCTTGGAGTAACTCTGGGTGACCTTAAGCTGCTCTGCCACGTGGATTGGAATTATATTGCGAAGCAGCCAGTCAGCCTGGTCCCTCATGTTTTGAATCTTGATGCGGTGTTGATCAGCTTCCACATTTCCATGATAATGCAAACGATAACTGACCTCAAACTCCCGGTTAAGAAACCAGACGAGGAGAAGGAGCAGGAAAAAGGCCACACAGACCTCGGGACCAAGAAAGTCTTTTGGGTGGGGTCGTGGATCAGGAGCTGTCGAGTTGCTCAGCAGAAATGAGCTGTTGCCACTGTTGTTCTGACCATCAGACCTGATTGTGAGAAAAGGGAAAGGGAAAGAAAGACAAGAAATATTGAGACTGTGAAAAAAATCTCGGAAGAAATAAGCACATTAAAGCTTTAAGTAAAGTATCAGGTTCTATTACTAAAAAGCAAAACACTTCTACTGAACACATGTACCTAAAAAATTTTTTTTAAATGTGTCGTGTTGTCCTATTCTAATATGAACTTAATGCCAATTTGACGTTATCAATAATCATACTTACCAGAAAAACAGACTCTTAGCAATTCTAAAAAGGAACAAAACAGAAGGAACAATAATTAATGACTGTACACAAAAGAATGTCTTAATCATATAAACCCTCATGTATTAATCTTAAGACACAAGACGTCATACTCTTAAAAAGATACTTTAAACTAAAAACTTGGTTGCTTTTTCTATACATTATTCAAATTTAGGAAGTATGTCATACCTGCAGGGGGAGCTAAAAAGCAAGGCAAGAATTGCCAATCCCAATAGTGTTGCTATTGTTGAGCGCATCCAGTAGCTGAGCTGACAGAAGTTACAATACTGAACGATGGCTATAACTACTGCACAGCAGAGGAACATGGTAAACTGAGGAAAAGAAATTGACAAAGAGAGCATTATTCCAAGGAAACACTGCAGAGAAGATTATCAACCATACTGACTGCTAGCCAGATCAAAGCCAGTGAAAGGGCATATCAAAACCGTCAATAGAAGTTTAACAAGCAGTGGCCTTACAGGTTAGAAGATAACACTTAAATGACAATTATGCTTGTTAAACCAAGAAAAGATTTAATTTGATCTCACCTGAATGGAGAAATGCATGTCACAGGTGAGGTGAGAGAAGACTGCCACAGAAGGCAGAGACACCAGGACAGCTCCAATAATGTGCCGGACTGCCCAGCCGGAGAGGGATCTCATCAGCACCCGAGTGCAGCTGAGCACACTATCCAGATAGAAAGCCATACTGTGGAGCAAAAACAGGACCATGTTAGATCATTACAGTGCAGTAGAGGTTCTATGTGTGTGTGTCTATTTATATTTTCAGCTTGCATTTCTCCCCTTCTACTAATATTTGGCAGTACATTTTAAGTAAACACTATATTTATCTATATAAAAGCATAGTGCCTTTGATAGTGTATGGATCAGTATATATGAAATACTTTCATGTGCTTTTTAATCGGTATCAGGGGTATAAAACCATAACACAAAATAAGTTAGGATTCATTCTAAAATGAATTACTCATCCAACCCCTTCTGACTTTGTTGTTGCTCATATTCTAGATTATAGAATATTCTCATCAGAGGAGTTATTCAGAAAAATACAATCTAATTTTCACGCTTGTTAAGTTTGAAGTTTTTGTTACATTTCAGAAAATTTCCCAACTCGTATGATAGTGGGCTTTGTATATTGTACACGTATAGTTGCTCATATTGTGAGGGTAGATGAATTTTGCTCTCCACTGATACCGAACATGGCCCATGATTTAAACTCTGCATTTCACATCTCACCAAATAGAAAACAGCAGAGCCAGAAATTCCAGCAGTGCAGCTACAGCTGTCAAAATGAGTGTTGGTGTGGACAGACTCTGCTGGATACAAAGCGGTCGAAGGAAACAAGCCAGTGAGAGAGCCAGAAAAACTAAACAGCACAACAGCATGTCCAGGAAAGAACTGAATGTCGGGCTGGCAAAAGTCTGCATTGCTGTTTGGTTCTCCACCTGCGATGCAAGAAAAACAAAGCCAAAAAGCAAAAACAGAAGCAAAATTCAATTAAGGGAAATCGATTATCAAAAAGTGACAAATTAATTATGTATAAGGTTAATCCCACTTATACAAGCAAAAACAGTAGCCATCTCATCTGAAATGCAGCTTCGAGGTTACACCAGCAGAGGACATTGCAATCTAACACAAAACTGCTTTTAGGGTGCTGCGGTGGTTTCTTTTTGCCGCAGTCTTGACCAGTCTGGTGATAACATTAACAAGCTTTCCAGACGAGAATCAGAATTATACAGAATAATATAAATGAACGTGAAATGACACATTTTTTAAAAACAATTGTTAAAAAATTGAATCACAGAGAAAATGTAACTGTGGAACCTTTCAGCACACTCATATGCATCGAAGAATAGGGAAGTATGAAATATACATTTTTTAACAGGTTGCATATGGTCACTCATGTCACGCAAATGTAGATAACACACAGACCTCCTCCTGGTAGCTTATCCGGTAAGCAGATTCCAGGCTTCTCTCCAGGAAAGTCAGGCTGAGCTTGTGTAACGGAGGTTTGTAGAAATAGTCCTTCATAAGACTGTCAGAGACACAGAAAAGTCAGGGGGAAATAATGTTAGGAGTAATGCACATGGTAAGGCAGAGGCAGAGTAAAAGAGTTACTCAGTCACCTGTCTTCCTTGATAACATCCACAAAATGAGCATCACTCCTCTCCCTGAAGTTTTTGGATCGCAGAGGGATTAGCGCCGAGTGGTCCATCCCCATGGCTCCTCCGCTCCATGTCTTCTTCTCCTTTTCCTGTAGCATCTCACACAGCGATGTCTGGCTGTTAGTCAAGGCCTCTAGTTTAGGACTGAGCAGGCCATTCACAGCGTTGGGGCTGCGCCCAGAAGACACCACAGGGGAGCACTTCAGATTTGAAGAGTCCTAAGGAGAAGAGAGGTTTGAGACACATCCTAAATTCCCAAGAAAAAAGGCGAGATAATAGATCTGTGCTCTAAAATGAGGTCAGCAATATAAATAAATGGGATATATGAAAGTCAAAAGACTGTGCCCAATTCAAATGCAAGTGTGCACAGCGACTTTGTGTGGGACAGATGAGGCTCCATTTCTCTGAACTATTTTTGTGACCTTTTTTGATATTATGCTCTAAGGTATGAAATGACCCAGAAGTTGAAGGACAAAAATATACCACATTGCATTGTTATACAAACCCTTTCTGAACAGGAAGGGAAGGTTTATAATACGATTTGGACTTTGTCAGGTTAAACTGGGGTGACAATAATAGTCTAACCTTGCTGTCGTTCGTTTTATGCTCATCGTGGCAGCCATTATATGCCGTGCCTTCTTCCAAAACTTGATCCTCCCCGGCTGTCAGGGCAACGCTGCAGGACAGGCAAGGGGGCTGTGTGGGGATGGAAATAGAAAAAAGTAAAGAAAGAGACACAAAATGAAGAAAATGAATATATTTAATACAAACATCAACTATTTGCCACATTTGTACTACACATCTCCAAAACACTCAAATAGTGTTAAACACTTTGAAGATTTCATATAATTTGGCATACATCCTATATCGATTGTTTTTGTTGCCATACAAAAGGCAACAAAAACTAAATGGATTGACTTGTTGGGATCATAATAAACAAAAGCTTGTTTCACCAGCAAGCAGGCAAGTAAACAAACATTTTTACTCTTCAAATTAACAGGAGAAGGTTTCTTCATTACTGGATAAGAACTGTGTTGCTGCACACAGGGAAGTATACTGTATTTTAAAATAAACACATGGGTGTTGACCGAGTTACAGTGAGCAAATAGAAAAGTGCAGCAGCATTGTTATATGGAACCAAATCTACACAAAAAGCAGCCTTCTTACCGGCAAAAAAAAAAAAGAAAAAAGAAAATATTTATAAAACCTTCTGATACACCCACATACAGGAAAGAGGTTGTGGTAGAACACAGAGCTCTGTGTTCCTCCTCAGGCAGTGTAGATGCGTAGTGACAACCAATCAGAGTAAAATTTCTTCAGCAGCATGGCTGCCAGTCACAGAGACAGCAACTACTCACCTTGGCCCTGTCTTGGGACAGACTGCAGGCAGAAGGTGCGCCATCAGGTGTAGGCACTCTGGGCATGGGACACCGAGGATCTGCCAGTTCCGACAACCCCTTTTGGGAGCAGTTACAGTGAGAGTTAGGCTCAACCTTCCTGCCTGAGATCAGGTAGGTCCGAAGGCCTGGAGAGATGAAAAGAAACAAAAGCAGATATGTAACAGGAGATAGGATGAGTTGCATTTGGACATCCCTGTGTGTTTGAAGATACTGATGCTTGTGGGATTGTTACAATTGAACCGAGGCTCAGCATTCAGGATTAATTCTCGTGACGACTTACATGGTTTCACAGAAAGAAAAGCACTGAACAGCCATCTCTCCCACTTGTAAAATACAAGGTCAGAACACATGAGTCATTCTCTTCTTTTTTACATATGAATGTATTTAATGTTATGTGTGGTATGTTCGTGCAAGCTTTTGTTTTATTCGTGCCATTTAAAATCAAAATGATGAAGCGTACACAACGCACCTCAGTAATTTAATCTCTACTTCCTGACAACCTGAGAATGGACTTCTTTTTGGTTGCTTCATTGATTTCGCTACTATGGAGGAATTCATGGTTCTCCTATCTATGGTACAAGTGTGTCATTGTTTGGACGAGTTCAGACATTCATGTTCAATGCCCATGAACGTTTGAGACAAAACAGACCCCTGACAAATGTTTGAATGCCTAAGTCCTTCAACTTCTATCAACATATTAGCATTTCCAACACTGATAAGGTTTCTATGCAAGTTTTGCTTGTTTTTTCTTGAGATTCAATCCTAAAAAAAATGTTAATGGGAAAAATAAATCCTTGAGTTATGAGAAATGTCACAGCTTGAACATTCTGGCAGCGACACATAAAAAGAATGGATATGGGGCAACGTTAAGTTGTACAGGTTAAAAAGCTAAAAAGAAAGAGCAAGCATGGGAATCACCTTAAAGAGAATGCTTCTCTCTGAAGTAGAGGTTAAGCAATCTAAAGACAACTGCCCCACATAGTGCCCCAACACTGTATATTGTAATTTAATATAAGTTTGCTATATGATACAAGCATAGTAACGGGTGTCTTTGCGTGTTTATAAACTGCATAGGTAAGAACCAGTGACTGTGTGTTTAGCCACATAATTCAACTCTCAGTGAAGCTACAGCCTCGGGCTCTGATCATTGTCTGCACTAAGAACTTCAGACAGGTCGGCCGCGGCCTGTGCTGAGCCACCCTCAGGCCCCACTTCCTGACACACACACAATGCCACACTTTTGACACATGAGCACATGGTCTCATTTCAGTTTTGTTTGCACTTCCAAGTAAAATAAGTGCATCAATACACTCAACAATGTATAAGATTGTAACATTGTGCTGAAGACGAAGAATTTAAACTTCTTCATCTGTGCATCGTTTGCCTCTGCATCTCTGAAGATGTAATTAAAGCACTGACACACCACGCTCCTTCCCCGATGCCCAGCTGTAATGCATTTAATTGACAAAAAGGTCAAATAATGGTTAACTACCTTAAGAACCATGGCTAGAGGGGTGAGGTGCAACTGGTTTTCTTTCTTGAATGGGGGTATTTTAGTTAGAGAGACAGTCACACTCGTTTCTTTCCAAATAATAAAAATAATACAAAAATATGTGACTCATAATATATTCAGACCCTCGATCAAAGATCTGCTGTAAAAGCAGTGGTGCATGCCGAGTTTAAAAAACTGCTTGAGGACCAAAAGAAATCCATCTCAAAAGAAATCACTGGACCATTAAGCCTCTATTCCCCTATACTGCAGGAGCCTATTAAAAGATAATGAAGTATTTCAAACTACTGGGCACGCACAATTATAAGGTATGGGGTGGTTGTATGCATAATTACCACTCAAAACAATAGAATGCTTGTTGGATTTTTCAGATGATATTTCCAATGAGGAATGGTATGTGGTAAAGAAAAATAGAAAGGAAAAGAAAGAAGTGGGCAAAAAGTTGCAACTTTACAAGAACGAAAAATACAAAATTGCTAAATGCCTTCAAATGAGTGGGACAGTCTTAAGAGACCAGATAAAACAGGCAAAAACACAACCACCAGCAAATTGACTCAGATTAACAGTTAATTAATTACAAGTTCAAGAGTTTATATAGAAATAGAAAAGAAAAATGCATTTATATTGAATATATATATATAAAAGTTATATCCTTATATCTGATCTATATGCAGTACAAGGTTCCTTCGGACTATCTAAAATATGGTTGAATATTCATAAATAACCTTCATTACTTATTTGTAAGCACTTTTACTCCATCCTTTACTTTACTTGATGTTAGGGATGGATACATTATTGTTCAGGTTGTAAATGATTAAAAAGAGGCCTGATTAAATGTTTGCATTAGATGATGTTTGCTCACTTGCAGCCTGTAATAATAGCCAGCTATTTACGTGAATCCCAGTTTGATTCACTATGAATGTTGACGCAGCAAAAAATTGTGGGATATAATTTCTTTTATTTTTACAGAAAATTAAGCCTTTCTTCCTGAAAACAAAACGTTAGTTACATGTGATTCTCTTTGAATTTGGAACATTTTATATCATAGCTGTAGCTCATTAACTCACTAACTAATATGTCTGAGTAATTTCACTGAGTAAAGAAATTTCTAAAGTAATGAAACTGAGATTTATTCTGAAAGCCCTGGTCGTCTCCATCACCTGACCTGAATCCTTGGCAACGTTTTTTTTCCTGTTTCTTACACTGATATCTAAGGGAGCTGACAGGAGTTCAGCTGTGGTGTACCCTGCCCATCACTTCCTGTTAGGCTTCGGCTTACATCAAAATAAATCTGTTGCTGACTTGATTTTAGACATTTCAGCCTGCCCTTCTGTCAGAGTAAAAACAGAAAATAGTGGGTCAAACTGAATCTTTGGCCCCTCTCCGCACGGGTTAATGTGAATGTTTGTTAGACTGATCTCATCTTGTTGATCACTACACATGTCAGAGTCTTCACAGAGAAGCAAGATAAATTGAATGTAGACATTCAGAAAATTGCACAATATGCTCTCTGTGCGTTCTAGTAGCAGAGGGTCCTTGAGCTTTTAGTAGATGAGTGCATTTGTGTGCCTACTCATTTCCTTTCAAGGACAATCTCATCTACAGTGTAACCTTGTAGAAGCTGAAATGGTTGTGCTGTCAGGCAGTATACTGCGCCTGGGATACGCAGCCTGCTACACAGTCCAGATCAACAAGGCCCAGCTTCATTAGAATACAGCTGTGCTCTAAAGGCCTCATAGCAGGGAAAAGGTCAGGAAGCTTCATGCTGTGTGTTCCCATTGATGTCTCGTTTCTTTCCAGCTGAGTGTTTGCGTGTGTGTCCTACAATTCATCCGTCACTCTGCACATCATTTTGATGGTTTCTGAGGCAGGTCTATGCCTGCGTTGCCCCCTCTTTCTCTTCACTGTCCTTGGGCTAATTGAAGAGCGTCATTTGTGACAGTCTATGGGCATTATGAGATGTGAAGTGTCCCGTGCTTTGCTATTAGCCAACAGGGAACAGTAGATAACCTTTCACTGTGAGAGCCCAGTCACATCATCTCCCTCTCCAAGCTCTTTGTTTAGTTCAGTAGAGTGCAAAATGAGAAAACACTTTAGAAACAAAAACCATCATCACTTCAACTCCTCCCTTCCTCCTGCCTCTTCATAGCCTGTCCAAGCTCTTGTGGAACAATGGATGTCCCAGAGCCACGTTTGCATGATGCTTCAAGAGCTTCTGTCTAGCGGTGGGTGTGCTAAATGAACATATTGAAAAAAGGAGGATACACAAACAACAAAACACACCAACACACACACAAACACACTTGTAGTCATTTCAAATACTTTTAATATGACCCTGCTTTGGCCCTGGACAATGGGAAGGACAACCAAGTGGAATGCTAACAACCAACAGCAAAATGCATGGACAAACTTCCTACATAGAACACAGCACAATAGAAGAAGAAATCAAAACAGGGCCAAAACAATAAGCATTTAATTCTTACTCATGTAGTCTCTGGGATACATGAAAAAGCCTTCTTTTTTGCTGGAAACTCTTTCCAAAAGCAACACATATGCTTTGAGGTTGATTTGAAAGTCAAACTTGGACAGAGAAGCCAATGGTGTTGTCCCGGAGAGGCTTATTAACAACCGAGGAACATGAAGAGCAAAGTAAAGGTTGGTTTCCTGAATCAGCACCGCACACCCGCACAGGAACACAAGAATACCGCGTGCCTGATCTTCCCATAACGACAGGTTTGCTTTTCTGGGCCAGGTACCGGGACAGGGGGGCAGTAGAACAGGTGGCACTGAGATATGGCTTTGCTAAGCTGAGCAGTTCTTCCTGCCATTTGGCACTGTCAACAAGAAGGCCACCTTCCTTCTCCCTTCAGTGATTCTCTGTCCAGGGATATACTGCACATCTTGTTCCTGGTGATCGGAAACCAGCAGGAAGAAAAAAAGAAACCTGTCCAATTTGACAGTCTGTTTAGGAGAACTCCATTACTGTGGTATGGTGCACAATGTGCCGGTTTGAGCAGTAAGATAGAATAGGAGGCGAGTATTCTCATAAATGTGTAATTGTGAAAGTTAAAAATTGCTGAAACAATTCAGTCAAACCACAAGAGTGACTTGTAGATTTCACAAGAACAGTTTCTGCTGGACCTTGGCTGTCATTTCTCTTACTAAGAAAGAGAGAGAGTGCATGTCTCTTCAGCCAAGAGTGGGTGAGAGTGTGGGTGTTGAGAAATGACCTTCATCTTTACAGTTTTACTATTCTGCTGACCGTTTTTGTTCTGGGGCACTAAAGGACACGCAATGATGTGAGCAGAATTATTTATAAATGTTGAATTAAGGAACACAGGTTCTTCTGTCAAAGAATGCCAAGCTAAGAAGTCTCGAACACAAAGGGCTTTTACACAGGCTGACCTTCCCTATAACACACACTCCGTAGGTGCAAATATTTTACGCAATGCTCCCTCAATGACGCACATAAAAAACTCCAAAGAGCCCAGGTCCCTTATTGTATGGGCTGCACTGGCCTGGTATATTCAACAACACCATATCCCACTTTATGTTACATGAAAGTAGCTGTTTGATTTACTGACAATCAGTCAATTAAAATTATACCATCAAGTT